ACGGAAGCGGCCAGCAATCCTGAGGATTCCAGAGTGAAGAAGAAGTCCGACGGAATCCGATGGGATTCCCTCAGGGGTCCTAGGGAAGGCTAAGGGTGTCCTCAGACCCCACGGGCCTCTGCAGAGATCCCGCGGCTTTCCGGGCGAACCCTGTGGGTTTCCATCTCGCGCATTTCGCGGCGGACTCCACGCCCCAGTGCATCGACGCGACGCCAATGCTTATCGCGAAGCGAGACCCCCGCCGACGCGAAGCAGCTTCCCCGCGCGAGACTCCCGCGCGCGCGTGCGCCCAGTCGAGCAGAGCGGAGCCGCCCCCGTCGCGGAGCGAGGCCCAGCCGCCAGTCCCGGGGCGAGACCCGCGCCAACTGAAGGGGCCGCGTGGGGATAGAGGCGAGGAAGGAATCTTCCCTCGGGCGCGGACGAGACAGGTGCGAGGCGGGAATTGATCCACATCCACCGCCTGGGAACCGACGTCCTGGTGCCCCAGCGGGCGGTGGATATGGATATATTTCGACCCCCGGGGGCCCCGAATATGTCCACATCCACCGCCTGCCGAGGCTCCGAAAACTGACCCTCCAGGCGGTGGTCATGTATAAATTCCCGCTGGGATCCAGGCAGCGCAGGCGCGCCACCTGCATCCCGTCCCCCATAATCCTGATGAGGGGGCGGGATGCGTGCGCGCATCCTCTTGTGAATCTCTGCCCCTCCTCCTCCTCTTCCTCTTCCTCCTCCTCCTCCTCCTCCTCCTCCTCCTCCTCCTCCTCCTCCTCCTCCTCCTCCTCGAGCGTAGCCGATGAGCAGTCCGACGTCTCATGCCACCCCTCGCGCCGATGGCGATCGGACGATCTGCCATCGAGCAACGGCCGCAGCTCGTTCATATTGTCTCTGGCTGAGCGCTCCGGCACGCAAATTGCTAATTTCATGTCGAATCGCATGATCCGCCACCGTGCCTCTGGCACGAAGTAGAGTTCCCCAGGGCTCACAGCTGTGCTGCTGCTGCTGCAGCCAGAATTGTAGTTTGTTAAGGGTCCGGACCACCAATTTCCTAGGCGCTTCCGGGCGCTCCCGGGCGCTCCTGGAGTTTTCCGCACGGGCCTCTGGCAGCGCCCCAAACGGCACGGAGAACCAAGCGCCAAAGACGGTCAAGGAGCGCCTCTGGACGGCCCAAGGGGCCTCCAAGACGCTCCAAGAGGCCCCCAAGATGCAAAAACCGCTCCACTCAGAAGCCCCCAAGAGGCCCCCAAGAGGCCCCCAAGAGGGCTCCAAGACCGCCACCGCCCAAGAGGGCTCCAAGAAGGCCCAAGAAGGCCCCAAGACGGCCCCAGGACAGCCCTGAGAGGAGGCCCACAGGGGGAAACCGAACGGACATGTCGAGCCTTCGGCCCTAAGAAAACGCAGATTGGCAAATACAAGGAATCGCAGCTCGGATTGAGGAGACCACGGCGGGCAATGGAAGAATCATGAGCATGATGGCCAGACAGCTTCCAGAAACCACAAGAAACGAGGGGTGGGCGAAGTGGGGGATGATGATGGGGCCATCCCAACAAGCATGGCTTGGGATAGGGGATCGTGACCCTGCGCTCGTTTGAAAAACCGCATTCTGATGGGACGGCGACAAGGCCGCTATCGCAGCCTGCACTCGGTCCCATAGGATTCCCCTGACCTCATCGGCCGCGTGGGGACAACATCAGAAAAGACGACGAGGCAGACATGACGAGACGAAATCAAACTAGCGGGAGCGGAATAGAGCGGTCCGAAGGAGCCTTCGGGGGTGAATCTGCTCGGGGCTCAAGTGAGGGTTGTCAACAACATGGCGGCGCAGGGCATTCAAGGCCGCCTCCCTCCAGCGAGCGACACTCAACCCTGGCAAGCCTCTAGAGGCAGCTGAGAGATGTTCGGCAAAGGCGGGGGCCTGCCACCAGACAGGAGAGGGCCCGCAATCTGAACTACGACAGTGAGATTCTTAGCTACAGCTATGAACCTCCTCCTCCTCCTCCTCCTCGTCATCGTCGTCCTCCTCCTCCTCCTCCTCCTCCTCCTCCTCCTCCTCCTCTCCTCCTCCTCCTCCTCCTCCTCCTCTCCTCCTCCTCCTCCTCCTCCTCCTCCTCCTCCTCCGCCTCCTCCTCCTCCTCCTCCTCCTCCTCCTCCTCCTCCTCCTCCTCCTCCTCCTCCTCCTCCTCCTCCTCCTCCTCCTCCTCCTCCTCCTCCTCCTCCTCCTCCTCCTCCTCTCCTCCTCCTCCTCCTCCTCCTCCTCCTCCTCCTCCTCCTCCTCCTCCTCCTCCTCCTCCTCCTCCTCCTTTCCTTTCGATAGCATGCCGCCACCGGTCCGGCTGGCGCGGGTTTCTCCCGGCAGACTGGGAGAAACTCGTTCGAACAGATATTATAAACCTGGCCCGACGGTCTGCAAACGACTCAGTGAACCCCGAAGCCTGCCGCGGCAGGGCTGACTGGGTTGTCGCGGCACGCCCGTCGGGGGCGCGCTCCATTGCCAGGCCCCCCCAGGGTCGAAGGACGCCGTTGGACCGGAGAGGGGGGGGGGAGGGGGGGGGGAGGAGGGAGGGAGGGGGGGGGCGGGGGGAAGGGATGAAGAGGGGGGGGCGAGGGGGAACAGGGGGGGGAAGGGGGGGGGCAGAAAGGCGGCGACGACGACCCTGACGCCAGTGGCACCGACGACGACGACAACGACGACGACAACGACGACGACGGCGACGACGACGACGACAACGGCGGTGACGACGACACCAACGACGACAGCAGCCCCGCCACGGGGCCGCCCCCCCCGGCCCCAGGATCGCGCCCAGGGCCCGCCCGCCCGGGGCCGCCGAGACCCGCGACATCAGAAATCTGATGATGTCCCCTGCAGGCGCCCCGCGCCCCCGGCACGCGCCCCCGGAGCCCCCCCAGCCGGGGCCGTCGGAGCGGGTGATACAAAGACCCCTGCACGCCCCCCGCCGGCGAAGCCCCGGTGCCTCGTCGGAGGCCCAACGTGCGGCCGCGGGAAGCTTCCCAGCCACCGCCAAGCGGAGGGGGAGGTCTCCCGTCGCCGCGTCATCGAGGGCCACTGCAGAGTTGGGTGGTCCTTAGACCCTCGGGCGCCCGCCTCACCTCCTTTGCCCGGCCGCGAGCCGCGCCGCTAAGTTCACCCCCGTCAGGACGTCGGCGTCGCGTGCGCAGCGCTGCGCAAGTGCTACGGCTGGCGCGCCCTCCCAGGCTGTCCACGCTGCGGCGTCCCGCGCCGCCTGCGCTGCACTGCGGCACTGTGGAAGGTGCTGGACGTCCAGCTCCACGCCGTCGCACCACGGATAAGCGGCCTCCGCTGCTCCGCCCCTGCTGGAGGTGAAGCGGCGTTGGAGGCGCCACTGCGCCCAGGGCCGGGTGGCGCGACAGAATTCCGCAGCGTCCGCCGCAACCTTCTGCCCTCTGTCCGGGTACCGGGAGCGCTCGGCGGTCACCCAAAGATCTTCACGCCGCTGTAGCTGCGGGTCGACCCCTTCCACGAGGGATGAACCTCTTGCACGCCTCCCTGCCGAGCGCCTCGGGGGGCGCTGCGGCCGCCGTCTCTGCCCACTCCCGGAATGGCCGAAAGTCCAGGCCGCTGGCGTGGTGCTGCATCGCCGCTGTCCAGGTGGTCTGGGATTGACCCGCTAGGCGCAGCACGCGCGGCGGGAGGGCGGACTGGGGCATGGCCCAGAGACCGAACGCCTGTCGCAGCGTGGTCGTGCTGAGTCTCCACGGCGTCCCGATCTCACGGAGGAGGCAGACCCGGGGGGCCGGTTGGGTCAAGTCCAGGAGCTCAGAGATCCATCGGTCGTAGATCGCGTCCAGGCGGGGCGCCCAGTCGCCACTGATCACCAGGAGGGCAGTTCCGTGGCAGGCGCTCGGTTGCACGCAGGCCCGCAGTGCCGCGAGTGCCGCCGCCAGGGCGAAGCCGAGCAGCTCAATGCTCGCGAGGGTTCCGCGCCAGGCCCTCTGCGCCCGCTGCTTTACTTGCTTCCGCAGGCCAGTCATGGTCGCGTCGGGCTCAATGGGAATGCCCAAAGACGCGTGGAGGTCGACGAAGGCAATACCATTGAGCGGCCTCCTCTTCCTAGTCTTCGTCCTCGCTTTCGTCCTCGAGGTCGCCGCCCTCGCACCAACTCCGCCGCCCGGGGGTTACCACGGAGGTCCCGAGGCAGCCGCGGGGCCTCGGTGTCCTTCAGTCCATGCCCAGGGGGGGGGGGCGCCACCTCATCGAGGAGGACGCCCTCCTCGGGACCCCTCAAAAGGCCCCCAGGACCTCTCAAAACGCCCAAGATCGTCCAAGATCTCCTCGACACTTGCTCCTCGAGCCTGGATCCCCAGGAAGAGCCTGGCGACCCCCCCTGGGGGTGACCCCCCTGACATTGCCTGACCTCCTCGGTGTTTATTGGACCACAACTCGGGCCTCTGGCGGCCGTTCGGGACGATCCTGGCACCTGGCACCCCTGGAACGATCTCGGCAAGGCGCGGCTGATGGAAAGCACCACAACGCTGGACACCATTAGGGAATCGACGAAAAAGCCCGAAGCCCTCGAACGCCGAACCCTGAACCCAGAATTCCGACGTCGTGGCTTTTTCACGACGTCGACCCCCGGAGGCCTGGACCCTTCCCCAGGACAGGTTGTCCACCCCTGACCGTTTCTTGACTGCCCCGGGCCCGCTGAGTGCCCCTGAAAGTCGAAAACGGCCAAACACCTCGCCATGATTTTTGTTGCGACGGGAGGAGGTGGGGGAAGCCCAGGAAGCAGGACCGCCGATAGAGGCCTCCCAAATGAGGTCCGAGCAGATGGGGTCGGGGGATCGCGCCACATCGCCGATGCATCGCAGATGCGTCGACAACGTCGGCGATGCATCAGGGCCGTCGTCGTGGAGACGATCGGGCTCGACATCGAGCCGCATCGGCGATGATCGGCGATGCGGCGCCATCCTCCGACCACATCTGCTCGGACCCCATCTGGGAGGCCCGGAGCTGAGGCGCTCGCCCGGGGCACCACGGACCCTGGGAAGAGCAGCGCGAGGCCGAGCGCCGCCGCTGCGGCGTTCACCGACTGCACGACCACGGCGGAGGAGGCCCGCAGCGCCGCCAGTTGCGCGAGCCGGACCGCTCCTGCCGCCCAGCGCAGCCGTCGGTCAATCCGTCGGTCGGTCGGTCGGTCGGTCGGTCCGTCCGTCAATCCGTCCGTCCGTCCGTCCGTCAGTCGATCCGTCAGTCGGTCGGTCGAGGTTCAAGGGCTTTCCGAAGTTCTTTGGCGTTTGGGGGACCCCCTTGAGCCTCCAGGGGCATGGCCAAATCCGCCTCGAAATCCTGGTCAGATCGCACTCCGGGAGGTCCCGGGGGCGGTCGTCGTCGTCGTCACCGCCGCCGTTGTCGTCCTCATCCAGTTCCTCGTTCTGCCCAGTCCGCGATCCAGTCTTCCTTCCTCGTTGATGCATCATACAATATATCATCGCCACCACCACCACGATAACCACCATCATCATGATCATCACAAACGTCGTCATCATCCTCATCATCCTCACCACCATCATTATCACCATCACCACCACCACTATCATCAACCTCAACATCATGACAACCACCATCATCGCCAATAATCGGAATCGGAATCGTCGCCATCATCATCATCATCAATCATCATCATCATCATCATCATCATCATCATCATCATCATCATCATCATCATCATCATCATCATCATCATCGTCATCATCATCATCAGCATCAGCATCATCATCATCATCACCACCATCACCATCACCATCACCATCATCATCATCATCATCATCAGCATCATCATCATCGTCGTCATCGTCATCATCAGCAGCATCAGCATCAGCATCATCATTACCACCACCACCATCATCAGCATCAGCATCAGCATCAGCATCATCATCATCATCATCATCATCATCATCATCATCATCATCATCATCATCATCATCATCATCATCATCGTCCGCATCAGCGTCAGCATCAGTGTCATAATCATCATCATCATCAGTAGCAGCAGCAGCAGCAGCATCAGCATCAGCATCAGCACCAGCATCAGCATCATTATCATCTTCATCGTCATCATCATCGTAAGCATCATCATAAACAGCATCAGCATCGTCATCAGTATCATCATCAGCAGCATCAGCATCATCATCATCGTCGTCATCATCATCAGCATTAGTATCATCATCAGTATCATCATCATCCTCATCATCACCACCAGCATCACCACCACCACAATCATCACAATCCGCATCATCCGCATCCTCACCCTCACCCTCCTTACCCTCATCGTCCTCATCATCATCCTGAGCATCATCCTGATCGAAATTGGAATCATCGACGTCATCAATCTCATCGTCATAATACGATACATAATCATCGTCACCATCATCATCCTCGTCATCATGTCCCTCTCTCGTCTCTGCTGCTGCACTCCTCATCTTCCTACTAGAACCACGCGCGCGCTTCGCGCGCGCTCAGGTTCTAGCAAGCTCCAACGCTTGACAATATCACAGCTCCGTGCAGATGCATACTCACACTTGCAACGTCACAAGTTACCCCCAGATGGTTCGAACATGGGTTGAGAAGTATTAAGAGCGTGGGTCGAGCAAGGACGATTCCCGACAAGACGCTCTACGAAGATTCCAAGGGCGCCGCAGGGAGGGGCAGGAGAACTCCAAAGGGCAGCCCAAGAGGATCCCGGGGGGTCTTGGGGGTCTCATGGCGTCGCTTCGAGCACGCCTGCGGCTATCTTCACCCACCTGCAGGCTGAAATATTTGTCCTGGATGCCAAAGACGGGCCCCGCACCCCAGGGGCCAAATTCGGATACGGGCGGGGGGGGAGTTTGGAAAAAATGTGCGACCCCGGGCCCTGGGGCCCCGGACGCCGCTTGTGTTGTGTGTGTATGTATGTATGTATATATATATGTATATAGATATATATATATTATGATATATATATATATATATATATATATACTCCTCCCCCCACCCCCTTCTCCTCCACCCCCCGTGGCAACGGGGGAACCTCCGTGGGGCCCAAGCTATCAAAAACAAAAGCCTGTAAAACTCCAAGGACCTCAAACAAGCAACCTCCAAAGATGTCTGCGGCTCAAAAGGAATTATAATGGAACGTCGCCCCAGCCGACGACGGCAAAGGCGGCGACGACGACGACGACGACGGCAACGACGACGATGACGACGACGACTATACGACGAGGACAACTACGACCATGACCCCCCGACCTCTCCTTGGGGTGCACTCTGGCCAGAATTTCGAGCCAAACCCAGGCGTGCCCACGAGGGCGCCCCCGGAGGCCGCGAAAGGCCCCCCCCCGCAAAAAAAAAAAAAAAAAAAAACAGCACAAACCTCAAACCTCCAACGAGGACGACGATCGAAGGCGACGACGACGTCGGCGGCGCGGCGGCGGCGACCACGATCGAAGATCGAAGCTCGTCGGCGACGACGACGACGACAACGACGGTAACGACGGTCGAAGACCCACGACGGCGACAACGATGCCCGGCTCCGGCTGCCGCCGCGCACACGCCGGCACCTCCGAGGCCCGCGGCAGCCGCCAGCGCCCACCCGGGCCGCAGCGCCCGCAGCGCCGCCGCCTGCCCGAGCGAGGCGGCGGCGGCAGCCGCGAGCAGGCCTCCCCGGGGGGGGGGGGGGCGGGCGTCGTCGATCGGTCGTGGGTCGTCGGTCGTCGGTCGCAGGTCGTCCGTCGTGGGTCGCCGATCGTCGGTCGTCTGCGTCGGTCGTCGTCCGTCGTCGTCGATCGTCCGTCGTCGTCGATCGTCGTCGTCATCGCTGCGTCATCGATCGTCGGTCTTCGTCAATCCTCGGCCGTCGTCGTCGTTCGTTGGTCGTCGATCGTTGTCGTCGTCGTCGATCGTCCGTCGTCGTCGATCGTAATAGTCGTGGCCTTGCGTCGTCTGCATCGTCGTCGCCGCCGCCGCGAGCAGGCCTCCTCAGTGGCCACTGCCGATTAATGAAGCGAAGTTCGAGGTTTGCGGATCGTTTCGGCACCTTGTGATATCTTGTGTCGGCCCGCACCCATGTGACGTCGGAAGTGCAATGCACTCAAGTTGGAGCGAGCGAAAAGCTTCCCATTCAACTTGCAGCTCTGAAGGATCTGGCTGGGCTTGGGCTTGGATACGATCTAGCTTGCTAATTACTGCTTGAGCGGAAGCAAAATGTACGTGCAGATACTTCAACGATGGCCACCAACGCCCATAGATCTTATGCGAATGCTCCGATGACCGATGCCAAACCTCACGTCGGGCCCGTAAATCTTGAACGGCACCGCAAACTGCGACAGCCTGGCAGCATGCGAGCATCGCATCAGAACATGTCAGGATAGATCTGGATGTTCTGGCTAGCATCACGCACACCCACACACGCGCGCACGCACGCACGCACGCACGCACTCACACACGCACACACACACACATACACGCACACACACAACACACACACACACACACACACACTCACTCACTCACTCACACACGCACACACACATACCACACCACACCATGCCACACCACACCACATCACACCACACCACCCCACACCACCCCACACCACCACACACACACAAACAACAGACATACACACAACAAAAAAAAAAAACGAACGAACGAACAAACAAACAAACACACACACACACACAAACACACACACACACACACACACACACACACACACACACACACACACACAAAACACACACACACAAACAAGCAAAAAAGCAAACAAAAATGGCGAGACACTTGCATAAGCCTCCAACGTGAGGTTCGAGTACATGGTGTCGGAGGATCGCGCCGCATCGCCAATGCATCAGCGACGTCGGCGATGCATCGGCGACGTCGGGACGGAGAGCATCAGGCTCCAGATCTTTCCGCATCGCTGATGCATCGGCGATGCGGCGCGATCCCCGACCCCATCTACTCCAGCCCTTTTTGGGGAAGCCCTAAAACCACAAAAGAACATCAGAAACCACCCAAAGAGCACCCTAAGCCATCCCCTCTCCCCCCGACCAAGAAAGAAGGCGAGGAACTTGGCAGATGGTGGACCACATCGCGATGTTATTTTCCCCCAGCTGTGGCGCCCGCGCCCCACAGACGGCGGCCTGTCAGCGCGTGCCGTCACCCGAAGACACTGGCATGCAGAAAGGAAGCGAGCCCTGAGGAAAGCGGGACCTGGACGCCTTTCCGCTGAGGCCAGCCTTCCGTCCCGAGGCATGGCTCACTGTCGTGAGGCCCGCGGAGGGCCCCCCTGAGGGCCCGGAGACGGCGAAGAGCCTAGACATGCTTCCCTCAGGACCCGCGCGCTGCGTGGCAAGGAACGGGAGGCCGCCACGGGCGACCCCGCACGCCAAGGCGCGCAGGGGGCCGGCGGCTCTGCGGCTCTCGCCCTTGGCCACCCCCTCGCGCCAGGGGGCCCGAGGCGCGCCGGCCAGGAAGAGGCCCCCCCGAAATTGAGACGAGGCCAGGGTAAGGATAAGTTCGGATGTCGATAGACCTGGAATATCTGAAACAAGTTCGAACGCAGAACAAATTCGGATGGGGAAACGTCCGGACGAAGATCTAGCGGGAATCGCTGGGACTGGAAAATCACAATAGAGGATGCTGGGGCCGTTCCAGAGCGCCCTGGAACGCTCTGGGAGCTTTCTGAAACGCTTTCGAGCGGCGCATCCTCATTCGAGGCCTGTCTGAAGCGGCCGTCTGGAGACCTCCCAAGTTTGGCCGGAATCGACTGGGTCGCCGGATCGCGCCGCATCGCCGATGCATCGGCGATGCATCGGCGAAGCACCGGCGACGTCGGGACGGAGAAAGTTGGACTGTGGATTTCGCCGCGTCGCCAATGCATCGGCGACAAGATGCGATCCTCCAAACCCATCCACTCCAGCCTCTTTCGGGCGGCGTGGGCCCTCTGCGGAGCCACGACTGAGGCACGCGACTAGCTCGGAGGCTGCCAAACCCAGGTTCTCTCGAGGTTCGAAGGTCGACGTGTGTGTATGTGTATGTGTGTATGTGTATATACGCGTGTATGTGTATGTGTGTACGTGTGTATGTGTATGTGTGTTGCGTTGTGTTGCGTTGCGTTGTGTGGTGCTGTGTTGCGTTGCGTTGCGATGCGTTTCGTTGTGTTGTGTTGTGTTGTAGTGTGTTGTGGTGTGTTGTGTTGCGTTGTGTTGTAATGTGTTCTGTAGTGTTATGTTGCATTGTATCGTGTTGTGTTGCGTTGCGTTGCGTTGTGTAGTGTTGTGTTGCGTTGCGTTGTGTCGTGCTGTATTGTGTTGCGTTGTGCTGCGCTGTGCTGTGTTGTGTTGTGTTGTGTTGTGTGACGTTGCGTTGTGTTATGTTGTGTTTTGTTGTGTTGTGTTGCGTTGTGTTCGGTTGCGTTGCGTTCCGGTGTGTTGTGTTGTGTTTTGTTGTGCTGTGTTGTGTTGTGTTGTGTTGCCGTGTGTCGTGTTGTGTTGTGTTGTGTCGCGTGGCGTTTTGTTGTGTTGCGTTGTGTTGCGTTGTGTGTGTTGTATTGAGCGCTGTGTTGCGTGACGCGGTGTGGCGCGGTGTGGTGCGGCGCGGTATGGCGTGGTGTTGTGTTGTGTTGTGTGGTGTGGTGTGGTGCGTGCGCGTGTGTGTGTGTGTGCATGCGCGCGTGCGTGCTTGCGCGGGCGCGCGCGCGCGTGTGTGCGCGTGTGAATGTGTGTGAATGTGTGTGCAAATATGTGTGAATGTGTGCGGTGTGTGTGATTTGTGTGTGTATGTCTGCGTGCGTGAATGTGCGCGTGCGTGCGTGCGCGCGCGGGTGTATATGCGCGCGCGTGGGTGCGCGCGTGCGCGTGTGCGTAATTTGTGCGTGCGTGTGTGTGTGTATGTGTGCGCGTGTGCGTGCGTGCGTGCGTTTGATGTGTTTGATGTGCGTGTGGGTGTGTGCGTTGTCTGTTGTGTGTTGTGTATTGTGCGTTGTGTGTTGCGTGTTGGGTGTTGTGTGTTGTGCGTTGTGAGTTGTGTGTTTATGTTATGTAAGTGTGTGTGTGTTGTGTGATGCGTGTTGTGGGTTGTGCGTTGTGTGTTATGCGTTGTGTGTTGAGTACTGTGAATTGTGTGCTGCGTGTTGCGTGTTGCGTGTTGTGTCTTGTGTGTTGTGTGTTGTGTGTTGTGTTGGGCGTTGTGTGTTGTGTGGTGTGTGTTGTTTGTTGTGTGTTGTGTGTTGCGTGTTGTGCATTGTTCGTTGCGTCTTGTGCATTGTGCGTTGCGTGTTGCGTGCTGCGTGTTGTGCGTTGTGTGTTGTGTGTCGTGTGTTGTGTGTTGTGTGTTGCGTGGTGTGTTGCGTGCTGTGTGTTGTGTGGTGTGCGTTGTGTGGTGTGTGTTGTTTGGTGCGTGCTGTGTGTTGTGTTGTGTGTTGTGTGTTGTGTTGCGCGTTGCGTATTTTGTGTTGTGTGTTGTGTGTTGTGCGTTGTGTGTGCGTGCGTGCGCGCGCGCGTGTAAGTGCTTGCGTGCGTGACTGCCTGTGTCTGACTGTCTGTCTGTCTGCGTGCACGCCCGCGTGCTTGCGTGCGTGCGCGCGCGCGTGCGCGTGCGCGTGCGCGGTGTGCGTGGCGCGTGTGCGCGCGCGTTTGCATGCTCGCGCGCGCGTGCATGCGCGCGCGTGCGCGCGTGCGCGCGTGCGCGCGTGCGTGCGCGCGCGTGTGTTTGCGCGTGCGTGCGCGCGCGCGTGTGCGCGTTTGCGCGCGCGTGCGCGCGCGTGCTTGCGTGCATATCCGTAGCCATTTTGGCTCAAGCCACGAACGGGCCCCGGTCGGGGTCTCCCGAGCTCAAGGGGGCGCCCGACGCAAGCGGGCCCCGTCGCCGCGCCTTGGCCGCGCGCCGCCGCTGCCCTCCTGCTGCCTCCGGCGCCTTGCGCCCCCGGCGCCCCTCGTAGCCAGGCGCGTGGACCCTGAGGGGCGGCACCTGGTTGGGAGCCCCCCGCCTGGGGATCTGAACGATCGGGCGGGGCGCAGTGCAAGTCGCGGTCTGGGGTGCCATTCCTGTCCAGGGGGCGCGCGCAGCCCCGGGGCCGCCGCGCTGCCGCGCACTCCCAACGACCTGGCACAAACGGATTCTCACGAAACACCGACAATCCCTCCGGAGCCCCTGGGGGTCGGGCTCTCAGCCAGCCAGTCGGGCCCAGCGGCCGCATCCTCGCCATCGACCGCGAAGATCCTGGCGGCAGCCCCCCCGGTGGGGGGCCCCAGGGGGACACTGCTCAGGGGCCTCCCCAGGACGCTCAAAGCGACGAGCCCCAGGGGACCCCTGGCCCCACAAACGGCCCCGATGACCTGGCAGTGAGCAATCCGAACCTCCCCCCGAGCCCTGGACGCCCCCCTGCTGCGACTGCACCGGCTAGGTCCGCCCCTGGACCCCACGTCGGGAGCGAGGAGAGGAGGGAAGGACCCGGAGAATGCCCTCCGCGCGGCGCGGAACACTCCACCCTGGGCGCGATTGTCGCCCGCAGGAAGGGCGCAGCCCCGCGCGACCGATCGCGCGCCAGTGAGGTGCGGCCCCATACCTAGAGAAGAGGAGGAGAAAAGAAGCCTCCAGGTTGACTGACGGTCGCCCTCCGCGCGGCGCGGAGCACCCCGCCCCGTGGGCTCCGCCGCCTGCAGGCAGCGCGCAGAGCCACCGCGCCGATCGCGCAGCGGTCAGGTGCCCCCCGAGACCTGGGACAGAAGAAGATGGGGAGGGGTTCCAAGGACGCCCTCTGCGCGGCGCGGAGCACCCCACCCTGCGGGCCCCGCCGCCTGCAGAAGGGCGCAGCTGCAACCCACTGATCACGCACCGACAAGGCGCGACCCCAAACCGAGAGAGAAGTGGGAGAGAGAGAGAGAGAGTGAGCCCCCAGGTTGACGGACGCCCTCCGCGCGGCGCATAGCACCCCACCTGGTGGGCTCCGCCGCCTGCAGGCAGAGGGCTCCTGGGCCCCCAGGACCCGCCCCTGAGGCCAGGGGGCGCCCAAGGGAGGCAGCCAGCCCCAGGCACGACGCCGCAGGCCACCCGCAGCCCGCCCGCACCGCCCCGCCGCATGCGCCAGCGTGAGCCCCGGCCTCGGTACCCAATCGGCGGGATGCCGCCCCCTGCGACCCCGAAGCCCACGACCCGGCCAGTCTGATAGTGCCTTCGGCCCTGCCGAGGCCCCTCCGCCCAAGCAGAGCTCTGTCGGAAACGCGGCGACTGGGGCGACCGCGTCGTCAGCTTCGACAGCCGCTCACCACGCTCTGGTCGACCGCGTGGCCGCCTTGCTCGACGCCGCCTGTCCCGTCGTCAACTTCACTACCGCCCACTGGCACGAATGGGTCATCCAGCACGCCGCCGACACTGCGGATGGTGCTGGGGATGATCAGACGACTATCGACCCTCACGCCTTCGACCCTCACGCCTTCTCTGCCTATCAGCTCGTCCTCTTCATACGCTCTCTGCCCGCCAGCGTCCTCCGCGAAGCCATCCAGACTGGGGGGGAGCCCACTGACGCTCCGGATGGGGGCCCCGACGCCACGTCGTCTCAGTAGAGGCTTCCCTCCCGCGACCCCTCGCGGCCCTATAGGAGCTGGAAGTCAAGGCGCTGAGCGTCGTCCATGGCATATTGCCATCTCCATCTACGTCCGCCTCCCTCCGCCCTCGACTTCCCTCTGCTGTAGCGCGTTCACTCGCTGAGTGCATGCTGGTCGATCGTTCGCTCGTCGTGTCGCCTGTCGTGTCGTTACTGCACCCTCCGTGCGGGAAAGTCCCAGTCGGTGGTCGTTTCGTCCTCCATTTCTCCCCGCCGTCCATGCCCAGATGGCATAGGCTGCCGCCCCCTGAGCCCAGCGCGCGCGGGGTCCAGGCCGTTGCACTTGACTGTCTCCGCATCGTCGCTGCGCGGGAGGCCGCGACCGCCAAAAGTGTGTGTGTGTGTGTGTGGTGTGTGCTTGTGCGTGTGGTGTGCATAGTGTGTGTATGTGTGATGTGTGGTCTGTGGTGTGTATGTGTACTGTGTGGTGTGTGGTGTGGAGTGTGGTGTGTGGTGTGTGGTGCGTAGTGTACGGTGTATGGTGTGTGGTGTGTGGTGTGTGGTGTGTGGTGTGTGGTGTGTGGTGTGTGGTGTGTGGTGCGTATGCTCTTTGGTGTGTAATGTGTGGTGTGTGGTATGTGGTGTGGTGTGTGTGTGTGTCGCGCACTTTACTTTACTTCGATTTGAGCCGCCTCCTCGATTTTCTGGCCGCTGCACGTTCATTTGGATTTGTAGCTTCTCCTTCACACCACGTATCGCTGCATTGACAGCGTGCACGCTTTGTACACAGTGCCTTCGACAATGTTCGATCGCAATCAGCACTTCCATCTGCTACTCGCGCCCGAGGATCCTCTGCGCCGCTGACTTAAAAAAAATGGTGTGTGTGTGTGTGGCTAT